CACCGCGCGGCCCCCGCGCCGGACGCGCCGCCGGAGCCGCCGGCGGCGCGGCGGCCGCGGGTCGCCGACGCGCGGCGCCCGGACCCCGACGGCGTCGCGTCGGCGATGGCCGTCGCCGGCGACGCGCTCCGGCGGCGGAGCGCGGTGGTCGGCGGCGACGACGACGACGTCGCCGACGTCGACCGGGCCAACGAGGCCGCGCTCCGCGCGCGGCGGCCCGCGGTGGAGACGACGGCGGACATGTGGGCCTACGTCGGCAAGTTGGCCCAGGCCCAGGGCATCCTCGAGAAGCTCCCGACGGACGCGGAGCTCGACGAGCCGCCGGCGCCCGTCGCGCCGCCGAAGCGGAAGCCGCCGCCGAAGAAGAAGGCGGCGCGCGCGCCCGCCGCGAAGCCCAAGCGGCGCGTCGCCTGGTGGGAGCAGGCCGCGCTCGACGCCGCGGGCGCGGCGCGGCCCAAGAAGCGCGAGTCGCCCGGGGCCCGCGAACCCCCGACGCCCGCCGCGCCGCCGCCGCGGCCGACGACGCCCGAGGACCCCTGGGCGAACCCCCGCGACGTCGTCGACTGGAGGCGGCCGTCGAGCTCGCGCGGCGGCCGGCCGGCGCGGGTCCCGGCGCTGCCCGGCGACGACGCCGCGTTCCAGATGCAGTACACGGACCTCATGGCCAAGCTCGCCGCCGGCGCGACGCAGACGGGCCGCGGCATGCGCGCCGACGACCTCGAGATGCGCGCGGCCATCTCCGAGACGATCCGCGAGCGCTTCACGAGCCGCGACGTCGTCGCCGAGATCCGCCAGGACGCGCTCCGCAAGCTCGGGCGGACCTAACCACCCTCGAGGCGCGCGGAGCTTTCCAGCTCACGCCTCGGCGCGCCGACGACCGTGGCGGCGCCGGGGCGGGGGCGACGATGCCGCGGTGGCGTCCTTCGGAGCTCCCCAGCTCTGCACGCCCCGGCGCGCCGACGACCGTGGCGGGGGCGACGGGGGCGACGATGCCGCGGTGGTGTCCTTCGGAGCTTCCAAGCTCTCCACGCCCCGGCGCGCCGAGGCGGCGCCGGGGCGGGGGCGACGATGCCCGGCGCCGCGCGCGCGGCGTCGCGCGCGCGACAGTTCCCGCGACTAACTTTTCGGGAGAGAGAGAGCGTGCGTAGTTACAGGCGGGGCGCGGGTCCGGGGGGGCGCGCCTACGCCTCGACGGTCTCCTTCTTCGCGCGGCGCTCCTTGGCCATCGACCGCTTCTGGTCGACGGGCGCGCCGCTCACGCCGTCGAGCTTGGCCTCGTAGAAGGGCATGACCCGCGCGACCGTCGCCTTGAGCGCGCGCACCTCGCTGCTCTTGAACTGCGCCTTCTTGCTCTGCTGGCGCTTCTCGAGGCGCAGGTCCAGCAGCTTGCGCCGCGACTCCTCGATGATCTTCTCCAGGGCGTCGACGTCCATGGACGCGTAGTCCGCCGTCTCCGCGCGCAGGCGCGTGGCGCGCGGGGCCACCGGGGCCGGCGCGAACGCCGACGCCGTGGCGACGAGAAGGGCGAGGGCGAGACGCATACTTGCTTCAAGCGTCAGACTCAGTCGCTGCTTCGTCGGTGCCGAGGCCGGAGCTGCCGCTCCCGAGCCAAAGCTCTCCGGCACCGACCGCCTCGTCGTGCTGCAGTCGCCACTGCAGTCGCCTCGTCGTGCGCGCTGCCGGTTCCGACGCGCCATGCAAAAGACAGCACCGCAAGCCATGTGGACGCACAAGGTCGCGTCGCCCGCGGCCGTCGTCGCTTTGGGCGCGGCGCTCTTCTGCTGCGCCCAGCGGACGGCGCGGGCCGCCGCCTGGTACGGCGCCCTCGAGTCGCACTCCTTCCTGCTGCCGCCCATCGTCGCCAAGGCGCTGCCGGCCTGGGTCCGGTTCAGCACCCTCGACTTCTTCGGGTCCGTCGTCTGCTGCGCGGACTACCGGCGGCGGCTCGAGGCGGCGGGCCAGTCGCACCCGTGGTTCGCGGCGCTCGCGACGAGCACGCTCATGCAGTTCGGCGGCACGACCCTCGTCGGCCTGCTGCTGGGCCAGCCGCCGAGCTGGACCCTGAGCCACAACGCGCCGCGGAGCCTGCTCCTCGCGTTCTGGCTGACGTGGAGCTGCCCCGGCGACCTGTGGACCACCGCGTACCGAAACTCCTTCGTGCTCCGGCTCTTCTTCGCCACGGGCGCGGCGCTCTCGAGCGGCCACGCCATCACGTCCTGGGGCCAGGACAAGGCGCTCAACGCCTTCCACGTCCAGGCCCAGGGCGCGGTCTTCTCCGCGCTGATCGCCGGCGCGCTCGGCGCGTCCGGCGGCGGCCTGCTCGCGGCGCTCCTCGACCCCTTCGGCGAGCGGCCCGTGGGCCAGCGCTCCTACGGCGCGTTCCTCAGGGCGGCCGTCGGGTCCGTCGCGTACTACCTGCTCCGGGACCCGCACGGCGTCCTCGCGGACGAGTACGGCTACGCGGCGCTCGCGCCCGCGACGGCGAAGATGATCGTCGGCGCCTACGCCGTCCTCGGCGCCGTGCCGGACATGGTCGTCACCTTCGACGCGTCGCCCTACGCGCCCGCGCGGCTCGTCGAGGCCGCGGTCCGCTTCGCGCTCCGCGTCCCCGCGCGCGTCGGCGCGCCGCCCGCGAAGGCGAAGACCGCCTAAGAGCTTTACTCGTCCATGACGTCCGCGAAGACGGACTCGAGGTGGTTCTTGGCGTCGCAGGTCTGGAGCCAGAGGTGCTTCTCGACGTTGGGGTCGATCTTCGACGGCGCCTTGGTCTGGTAGGGCGGCGGGCCGTACTCCGGCGTCGCCAGGACCTCGGCGGCGCCCCGGTCCCGGTGGTGGCGCCAGACGGCGGCCCAGAACTTCTCGTGCGCGCTCACGGCCGCGACCTTGTGCGGCGCGTGGTCGCCGAAGGGCGGCACCTGGGCAGGAAAAGAGAGATTCAACGTCGCTTCAACGTGAGTGTTCCGCGCGCGCACGTTCCGGAAACAGCATCCACGCTTCGAGACCGTTCCGAGAGATGATCGCTCGTCCAAAAATCAGCCAAAACGAGTGGAAAGCGGCCGAGATAGGAGCCTTTGAAGTTGGGAATTTCGCTTTCTTTTCCTGCCCTGGGCGGCACGTGCGCGTCCGCGGTCCAGTAGCGCGCCTCCGGCGCGAGCTGGCTCTGCTGCGTGGACCCGATGCGCGCGTGGAGGTGGTCGACGCAGGGCGCGACCTCGTCGCGGAGCCGCGCGAACGACGGCGCGTCGTCGAACAAACGCTCGCTCACGAGGTGCCAGTGGCTCAGGTCCGCGGTCAGCCGCAGCGGCTCGATGTAGTCGAGGTAGCGCATGGTGCCGAAGGGCGCGAAGAGGCAGCGGCCCCGGTGCGTCTCGAAGCTCACGCCCTGGAGGTGTTTCGGGTCGCCGCCGAGGCCGTCCTTCGATCGGACGCCCGCGCCGACGTGGGGGTGCGCCTCGAGGAACCGCGCGCCCAGGCCCAGGCTCCGCGACAGGAAGGGCCCGGCGACGTCCTCGGCCCAGGAGTCGCAGCCCGCGTGCACGTTGACGTGCGCGAGCGTCGCCGTCGGCAGCGCGGCCGCGGCGTCGAACTGCTTTTCGAGCGTTTCCAGGTGCGCGTCCGGCGTCGCGGCCTCCCAGGGGCCCTCGTAGTCGACCCAGCCGCTGTAGAGGCCGAGGATCAGCCGCAGGCCGTGGTCCGCGATGGCTTTGCAGGTCGCCTTCCGCTCGACGTCGTCGCCGCCGAGGTCATTCAGCGACATCTCGACACCGGCGAAGCCCTCCTCCTTCACGCCCTCGAGCCATTTGCGCGTGCGGCCCTTGAAGAAGCCCTGCGTGCCCCAGTGGCTCGCGAAGACGCTGAGCTTCATGGCTGCAGCGGCTGCGTCGCGCAGAGCGAAGGCGACCGACGGCGGCCTCTTGCCACAGGGCCCTGCAGGGCGCAGGGCCGACACTGCCGGCGCGCATCCGATTGGGCCGTGGTTGAGCCCCATCTTCCGTCACAGCTCTCTCAACCCCTGCCCCGCGGACCGCCCCGAACAGGCCCGGGGACCGCGGATCGACCAACAAGACCCCCCGCCGTCCGCGCCGCGACGCCGACCGCGACGATGGCCGACGACCAGGACCCGTCGTGCTCTCCCGACTCCGGCAGCGTGAACAACAATGGCGACGCGCAGCAGGTCGCCCCGCCGACCATGGACGTCATCGGAGGTGCGTTCCGCGCCGCGCCCGCCGCCCGAGACCAGGGACGCGCCGGACCGCCCGCCCCGCCCCGGGAAAGCGCTCCGCGCGCCCGTCCGCTCCCGAGGCGTCCGCGCGCGCGCGCGCGAGCCGCGGCCCCCCCGCAGACCCGAACCTCGGCCTGACCATGCTCGTCCTCCTCCTCATGGGGCTCATGAACTACTCCATGAGGGATCCCTGCACGTGCTAGCCGCCGCGCCGCGGCCGCCGCCCCTCCGGGCCGCGCGCCGCGACACCGCCGCAAGCGTCCTCTCTTTCGACCTCGCTCCGGCGCGTTCGCGCCGTCGCAGCCGAGGCCCCCCTCCCGCCGTCGACGACGCACAAGTTCCCCTCGTCGCCGTCCGCGCCGTCGTCTCCCGCGCGCCCGTCGCCGCCGCGCGCGCGCGAAACAGCCTAGAGCCTGTCAACAGCAGCGTATTAGCGCCGCGGGATGCGCACGCAGCCCGCGCGGCGGGGCGCGTCGAATCCCGAGTCGGCCCAGGCGTGGAGCTGGTCGACGAAGCCCGGGATGGGCTTGACGACCGGCCGCCGCGCGCGCGCGAGCTCGAGCGCGGCGTCGGCGTCGCGCAGGTCCCTCCGGCGCATGAGCCACGCGACGACCGTGGCCCCGGACCGGCTGTGGCCGCCCGCGCAGTGCACCAGCACCCGTCCTCCGGCCGCGAGCGCGTCGTCGACGAAATCCGACGTCTCGGCCCAGAGGCCGAGCAGGTCCTGGCCGTCGACGTCCGCGGCCGGGACGTGCAGGTAGGTGAAGCTCGCCGGGTGCGCGCAGGGCAGCTCCTTCGCGCAGTTGACGACGTGCGTGACGCCCGCGGCCTCCAATGCTTTGCGGCGCGTCTCGCGGCGGCTCCGGCCGCCGACGCAGCCGGCGGACGCGAAGGAGCCGCAGGCGACGCCGTCGTCGATCCAGTGGGCGCTCGGCACGGCCTCGTTCTCGTCGAGGAAGAGCATGCTTTGTGCAAGCGCCTGGAGCGATGGCTATGCTAATGCTTCGTTGCTGGGGCAGCGGACGCTCGTCACTGAAGCCGCCTTCAAGCAACGCTTCCCCGCCTTCAAGCAACGCTGCTTCCCCGCCGACAACGCGAGCTAGAGCCACCAGCACGCGCCGGGAAGGCTGCCCATCGTGAATGGATACGAGCTGCATGTTGAGGCAGTGTTGAGGAAATTATCGAAACTAGCTTTGTGGCAAGCGACGACACCCGTGGCCATTGCGGGCCGCGCGGCTTGTTGTCGACCGGCGCGATCAGTTTCCAGGGGGAGATGAGCAGCTACGGCGCCATGGGGGACTCGAAACCCATGGGCGAGGCCGAGCGGCTGCTGGACAACTCGATGCAGACCAACGAGGCCACGGAGGAGATGGGCGCGCCGCCGGCGCACGCCCGGGGCGCCCGCCGCCGCCGGTGTCCCGACGCGCGCGCCGCCGCAGGCCACGCGACCCTGGACCGCATGCGCGAGCAGCGCGAGCAGCTCGCGAGCGCCGCGGCGACCGCGCGCGCGCCGCGTCCGAACCGCGCCGCATCGAAACGACCGAAACGTCGCGCGCGCGGCGGCCCCGGGCGCGGGCCGCCGTCGGCCGCGCGATGCGCGCGCCGCCGCCGCCCCAAAGCGGCGAACCCGCCGCCCGCGTCGCCTCCGCCGCGCCGGCCGCCGCGCCGCGCCGACCCGGCGGGACCCGCAGGCGCAAGACACGCAGCGCGTGACCGCGGACGCCAAGGGCACGCTCCGCGACCTCGCGTTCAAGATCGTCAAGGAGAAGGTCTTCCTCGTGCTCGTCATCGTCTTCATGCTCGGCGTCGACGGGGGGCTGGCCTACCTCCTCGTGCAGAACAACGGCAAGTTCACGTCGAAACGATAATTTTTCTAGCAGTACTCGGGCACGTCGTCGAGGGCCTCGAGACCCCGCGACGCGCAGAAGTCCGCGAGGACGCCGGCCTCGACGCCGGACCCCTCCGCGGCGCCGTCGACGGTCTCCAGGGCCGCGAGGAAGCCCGCCGCGTCTTCCAGGCCGTCGAGCTTCGAGACGAGGACGTCGTCGCCGACGGACCGGAGCCGCGCCAGGCCCGTGAGCCTCTCGAGCTGCTTCATGTCGGAGACCTCGAGGCCGTAGGCGCCGTCGCAGCCGAGGGCCGTCGGCGCGGCCGTCTCGCACGCGCCGCACGCGTCGGGGCACGCGTCCGACACGAGCGTGCCGTCGTCGTGCGACAGCGCGCAGCGCTCGGCGGTGCTCGAGTTGCCGACCCAGACGCAGTTGTACCTGCGAGCGGCACACGGCGCTCCCCCCGCGGCGACGTCGCCCCCCCCCCCGCGCCGCTTTCTCGCCACTCGTCGTCGTAGAGGTAGAACGACGGGTCGTCGTCGCAGGGGCCGGATTCGCCGCCGCACTGGAGGCACGTCGCGACGCACGCGTAGACCGAGAGGAACTTCTCCTCGCCGCGGACCGCGCACCGCTCCGGCAGGTGCTTGCCGACCCAGGCGCAGTCCTTGGACGGGTTGTTCTTCTTGTGCCACGACGCCGAGTCGACGCACGCGGTCGGCGCGGCCGTCGGCGCATCGGTCGCCGCCGCCGCGCAGTCGCCGCCCGTGATCGTCTCGAGGCGCGGGAAGAGGTCTTCGATGGCGACGACGTCGTCGAGGGTCGCGATGCTCACGGAGCCCGCGGACTCGAGCGCGGGCAGCGCGGAGCCGTTGATGGACTCGAGGCCCGCGAGCCGCTCGAAGGGAGCTCGCCGCCGATGTTC